AATTGTAAACGAAGTTTTCCACAATATCAAAATTAACTATTTATCTTTAATACAAATCAATCTTTATCCTTAATAGCAAATCATGTGTTCTACTATTTTGTTGGACATTATATGTAGACCGAAATATGCGTGAGAAGTTTGCAAAATATAAGTACAAAATAAACTTAAAAATTAATTACAAAAATCTTATTGATATAAATATCACAATACTACAATAGAATAGATATCTCAACATCAGTAATAAATCCCTTCAATCATATGGTAACGAGTCATATACCAAAAAGTATATATTCAATAAGTTCAAATATATCATTTGATTTTCAATAACTGCACCTAACCAATTTCTTAAAAATTCACAGTGATTCACAATATCATTAAACATTTTATATGAACTAATTGATTATACATAAATTTTTAATATATTTATAATGTACATTATTATAAGTTACTAGTACAGTACTCGTGCGATGCACGGGGTTTTTTTTTATCTCCGTCCCTTTTAAAGACAATTTTAAGTTAAAATTCAAAGTACTTACTAAAGGAAAGATCATGGCGTTCATAATTAATAAATTAATAAATATAATGAAAATAATATCTATATATTATTGAACATTGCCTTATATACAATGTTCATGGTTTGATTCTTTGACACGTTATCGTTGCCACAAATTAAGATATTCTAACAATTTATGTTTGTGACATGGGAAACAACATACAACTGACCCCAAACCGTGCAGTTCTTTATGTTTCTCCTACACAATGTCCAATAGGTTTTTAAAGGGCATATTATGAGTTGCGAAATAAATTTTAAACATTGATATATTTTTTTTTTATATATTACATGCATAAAACATTGAAATCAAAATATAATAGAAAAAAAATCATATGAAAACATTAGAATATAAAATATGAATATAAAATGCTAAAAATTCTTACTCCAAATCCATAATAGAGAATACAATCATTTGGGTAGGAACTCCCTCGACAACCTTCATTTCGATAGGTTGTATTGAAACAATCAATCCAATAACATCTACAAAAATATAAGACATTACATCATATTGAAATGTATAATGTATAATATAGTTTATTGTGTGCAAATAACTATGAAGTGTGTTACCAAACAAATAGATATTTTAAAAGACTTGTTATCAAAATTCGAGATTTGTAATCACAATTCAAGTTTTGTTATCACAATCAGATCAAATTTGTTAATAAAATTCGAGATTTGTTATCAAAATAAAATCAAATTTGCTACCAAAATCTGATCAAATTTGTTACGAAAACCTGATTATATTGGTTGACATGTGAGACACATTGATAATGCTTCTATTAGTAAGTCATTTTTTTTTTTTTTTTTTTTTG